TTAACGCTAAACATTGTTACAGTGACCAGCCTCCACGCGATCAATCAGACCATATTACACGTTAACGATTCGTACCGTGATTCGGCTTTTATTACGACATGATCGGTAAAGGCTGACATAATTCCGCGCGAATTCGTAGTACGAAGGATCACCGTGGACGCACGTAATCGACGTATCAATTAATTTCAACGAGCAGTTACGGCGGCACAGCCACAGAAACCGCGACCGTACATTAAAGATGAAATTGAAGCGTGAATGCTCGACACGGAAGAAGTATAAACCGAGTGGTAAAGCGGCGACGCAAGTCGCAATGGCGGCTGCAAATTTTAATCAATCCTCGTAACGAGTCGATTCTGCGAAATATTTCTGCATCGATATCCCATGTGAAAATACACGAGAAACATAGATTAAAAATATTTTTTAAGGCTTTGATTGAAGGCTTAAATGTATATATGTATTGGGATAGTAGTAGTACAATCGAACAAAGGGTGATTCTACATGCAAAAACGAATTGAAAAAAAAGAATAAAATTTTTTGATTCGAAGCTTCGTTTTCGAAAAAACCGACTTTGAATATCCACCGAATGCGCGTGTATACTGATGGTCCATCCGCCATAGCCAAAGTTAAGTGCACGCGTACACATGGAATATTCAACATCGTTTTTCTCGATAACGAAGCTTCGAATGAAAAAATTTTATTCTTTATTTTCGATTCGTTTTTTCATGTAGACTCATTCCCTCCTCAGTTTTACTACTCTTGCTGGGAGACCCTGTATATATCTCGCGATCTCTCCGAGGTTTCTTCCGTGGATAGATATCTTCGTCGTGACACAGAACATCAAGGAGTGGGGATAACGTGTTTAATAACTCGAAGAAAAAGCGATGCACGAAATACCCGAGATGTAATGGAGAGGTACAGAAAGTATGATATTAAATGTAAGGTATTTCACGAATGAATCATTGCTCAACCATTTTAATATTTGAATAAATATTTGAAAAAAAAAAATATCAAATTTTTTACATTTTTATAAAATAATATTATTATTAGACAAAATTGAGAGCAAAAAATTTTCCATCCTGCAAATTGGGTCAATCCAATGGCTGATTAATTTAGTTACACAGTGATGGACTAAAATGAGTAAATTTTCGGATGGTGACAAGGTTTCCCTCTTATACTCATTCGCTGCTCGAGGACATTGAATGGGCTTCTGCAGCCATTTCTTGTCGTGGTCGTGTTTCCAAGTCATGAACGTTGAGTGCACGAGAATGTACGCCCATAAAGTTTCTATTGATTCGCGGTAAATTGAAATCACGTGATACTTGATAAACGCAAACCATGTTACAAAAATATTATTATTCGAAAATTTCGATTCAAGTTAATGGCGAATAAAATTTTGTAAACACTCAATATAGAGTATAAATTACCAATATTAGTGAACTTTTTTTATTAGTTCATTAATTTATAAATTTATAATTAATTTATAAATTCACGAGTTCAAGAGCTTTCTGTAACACCCTTGATGTATAGTTTAATTTGTTAAAGCAAAACATTTAACATCTCCATCAGACAACGATAAATTATTCACTTCCTATACAGTATCTACATTTCCATAAATTCGAATAGACTTCCTTAAATCTAAAGCCAAGAACAGCTCCAACTAAAGTTTCCCCTTCATCCAAACTTACAGCCATAAAGAACAAGTTCGAGATCCCTCTCCCTAACTACGTGTTCCTGACCACCTGTCACGAAATTCCAAGACGCTACACCCTCGTCAATCTAAATTTCCGGTTCACACGGCTACTCCCTCCAGTCATCCGAAATAGTTTAACCCAGGAAGCAATTAATTCCCAAGAATTAAATATCGACTCTTAAAATTCTCGTTTTACTCTCTGTTATTATCAGTGATGCCAACTGACGTTTTATAAATATCAAAACGATCGAATAAGTATAACCTGTTACCGTGAAAATACGCGCGGCAAAAAGAAGCGTTTCGAACGTTGACAAGATGGCTAATCGACGAGACAAAGAGACGGTATCGACTCGTCTGACCCACTTGATCACTACAGATCCCGTTAGTTGGCATCGAGTCGACACTCTTGCCGCGGGCGCATACCGCCGCTACCGCGCTCTAGCGGCCATCGGCGCGAACCATCGGCAGAGAAAATGTTCGCGCGGCAAATAAAATTCTCGTCTCGATCGGACAACTTGTTCGAAGGATAACGGCTATTGTTGGACCACGGTCGATTTATTAGCGAGATCACTGCTACTGGATACCACGATACGCTTTGTATCAAGCAGTCACGAATTTATTACCAACGATGAATCAGTGCGTCCCAGGTATTGTTAGATTTTATTTCTATTGCGTAGATTTCTCGCCGATTTGAGTATAGTTTGTGTTCGCTTTTCTGTCCCTTTTTCATGGTTTTAGGTATGGGGTTGATGGATTTCGGATTTTCATAGATTATTTATCTTTGTCGTTAGAATTTATTATTGGAAAGAAAAATTGCATCGTCCTCAGTGACACGCTTAATATTAAATTTTAATTATACGTAATAATTATTGCAGATATATGATAACTTTTCAATGCAATTTTTATTTTTAGTATTATGTAAAATATTTGTTATATATATATATTTCGAATATGTTCGTGGAATTCTTTCTGTATCTGTTTTATTTTTAAGGTTATGTAAAAAATATTTACCACCTGGGTATTCCAAATATATGTATATTTATGACATTCTTTTTGTGCCCAAAATTTGAATATTAATTTTAACCAGAAGCCATTTTGTTTGAACTCTGACGCACGATGTCAACGTGATAGAATAAAATTTATTATGTCGAACATTTGGTGTCTCCTTGAAGTTCCAAGGAGGTTCACTCCTTAAGCGAGTCGACTAACGATCAGAGTAACGAGCCGAGTATGCACGTAACGGTCGAGTTTCTAGGAATCGAGAAAGCTTGAATCACATAATTTGTCGTGATACGGTAATACCAGGGTCTGTTGCAAATTCCGACCTAGTGATCGACGCATTCCCAAGTGACGACATTCAACGTATCTCAAAGAGGCATGAATTTTTTTCCAGTCTTTCGTTTCAAATCACACGTTCACTGTTATTTTTATTTAGACGTATAAGATGGCGCTGACGTAGCAACGTGTACCTTTCAGATTATTTACAAGATTTACTAAGATTGACGACGGTAAAAAATAAAAATTATTATTTACGATGATGAAATCCTGAATTCTAAATTTGAACGTTAATAAAAAGTAACACGACACTCAGCGACGTGCATCTTGCTATTTTTCACGCAAATGTCGTATCAAAGTCGACTGACTACATAACCTATAGCAGTAGGTCAACCAGAAAGTCAAACACCTAAACGAGAAATCGAGACTGTACAACCTACATATATACTTATAAATCTTATTTAATGAACACTCAGCCACTAGTATCATAAATCAAAACCCATATTTCGTAACCTCTCAAACCTAACCTCATCCTTAAATCGATATTAAAAGGTTATCGGGAGATTATCAAATTTTGTAGGAAAACACAGAATAAAGTTTCGAGATAAAAGCAGTAAGAAAAGAAATACACGTAAAATAGAGTGGAAAACGAAGATATTAACGTAGGCTGAAAAATCGTATCCACTACAAGCAAACGAACATCGACCCCGTATAGTATTACCCCGCTGAACACGGTGCGCAAAAGGAAAAGATCGATCGGAACGATGGTCGATTATACGCGCCCATTCTTCCGACGGAGCACAAGGGGGTCCGCGATTGCACGGCAAAAAGAAGAAGCCCGAAATCCCGGGTGGTTTACCGCATTCAGGATATCCCGATGCAGTAAAACGTGGCGCGAGAACGTAAAATATTTATTACGGCTGGCCGCAACCGCGGCTTCGGCCTTTTTACAATCCACTTGTAATAAAAAGCCCCTTGGAAAGGGGAACAGAGGGCAAAGGACGGTATAGAACGTCGTAGAAAAAGGAAAATCGACAGTCCGGACGGTCGTTGCACAGCAACAGGTCGAGCAACGATACAAATGACCATGGAAGTACGTCTCTGCTCCCCGGCCTGTCCGAACTACCTCGATCAATTTCTGTTGTCCCCACTCCGCACCCTTTCCCAATGTTCTTCTCCCCACTCCGCACCCCTTTCCGCTGTCGCCTCACTTCGCATTGCGCGCGATGTCCTTCTCTTTGCATCAGGCGTTCTTTCGTCGAACCGTTGTACTCTTCCACGACGATATATCTCGCTGATCTTTCCGACTCAGCCATTGCGCTATAAATTGTGTCGCATTTTCTAGGAAAGGGACTCTCCAAACTGCGAGCTCACGGGGCACATTCGATGCCCGGGACGAGAATCATTCGTGAGCTCCTTTTGGTTTGGCGTGGAGGGGAGAGAGATTAGGAATTCCTTGACGCAGCTGTATGTAGTTTAGGTTATGCGCGTGAACGGTGTTTAGGATAGAGGGCGTGGATTGGAATTTGTAGACCAGCAGGTTGTTACGTGTCTAGACTATACCGTGTCTGCAGTTACAGAATATTTTTGATGACAACTGGGTCATTTTGTTAACAGACAAAGTTTACTAGGATACAAGAGTCAATATATTCTTTATTATATATATTCTAGATATTTAGATATTTAGGTAAAAAATCAATTTTTAAATACTATGATTTACTTGATTTTTGTAATGAAAGACAATATTTCTGTCGATTACTGGCTTTATATTAAAATTATTGACAATAATTATTAATAACTGAACAGTATACTAACAGTACACGCAATTAAGTTTTTATCTGAATAAAATCAACATCAATTTTACAGTTACTGGGAGCAGTCACATGTCTCCAGTAATTGCAGCAACAAAAAGTTTCAAACCAGTCATTTAGTTCTAGTGCTAATTATCTGTAATGCCCTAGTCACTGAATTTTCAACATTCTTAGCTAATTATGACTATACTAAATTATATACTGTTAATTTTACGAGGATATTATCTTACACCATGAAATCACTTGATATTTATATTTATGCGAATTTCTAACAACCAATAACAAGGGGGTGATATACATCCTAAAGCAGCAAAGTTGTTGAGACTCGTGATCGCCTGAGAGACCCCCAGAAACATCTCATAGATAGAATTTTGATCACGCCAGGGACAGTTTCCCCATGACGATGTTCCCAATAACAACTCTGATTCCCCCTTAGACGTCTGCCTGGCACCACTTCCGGCATCGCCATATCCACCATAAACTCTATGGCGTCTCGTAGCCAGAATCACGGGGTGAACGACCCTTGGGTACAGCCTCTCTTAGATTGTATGCACCCTTCTCGCTGTTGGTCGAAATCCTATTTGTGAAATTAGAGATTTACTCGCTTTGAGACAAAGTAAATCGCGTTTGGCTTTGCTGTTGTAGGAGATGACGATGGTGTGATATGGTTCACACAACAAAGTGAAATTTCCTGCGCGTGAATGTATCAGGATTATAGTACAACAGGTATAAGACGAAGTGGAAATTTGTAATACAAGGGAAGATTACTTTATTGCAAACACTATGTTCTTCATTTTTCTAGTTAAAATCTTTTTCTATATTTTATGCGTTTAATAGTTTCAGTAATGAAATTTATATCTTCTCCTTATTTTAATTAAATATTTTAATAACTTTTAACACCATGAATTTTACTATACCGCTTCACTACTTTTCTATATTTTGATAATCTGACAAAATATGTAAAAATTTTTTTTAAAATTGATAATATACTATGAATTTGTAATACTATAAATTATGCAAGACATACCAGATAATGTACATATGGATAATATACTGAAGGATTGTACTTTTCACACATATTCACAACTGTTACTAGAATATACAATGCACAATGTATAATATAGTTTTGCAATGAATTAGTAAACAAAAGTGTTTGTCAGCCTACGTGGAAAACTAGATCTTAATGCACAAACGACATAACCTATCGATAGGTTACAAGTCGCATACTTCTGATTCAGAGATGGCGTAAATCACTAGCAAATGACAGTTATCGTACACCTCCAGATTACCACATCGGTAAGTTCCATTGTTGGTCTCCTATGACAATAAAATCCATCTGCCTGTAAAAAATATTGAATTACGAATAACGCATATAACTTCACTCTAAAGAAATAAATCAAGAAGAACGAAACAATCGTACATAGAAAGCAACGCGTTGATATAAACTTTGGAATGAAATAACCGGACAAAACTCGAGAAAAAACTAAATGGCACGTGTAAATCACCGTCTCGTTTCTGCTTTCATCGATCAGTCTCCTCAAGCGACAAAGACAACAACGTAGCGGACGAAATATTATCAGGTTAGCGCGCGAAGTCGTCGCAGGAATGGCAGACGCGCGCGAGAGTTATGCGCATGCGTCACGCGAGAGTAATGCGCATGCGTCACGCGAGCTTCAGACGAAACAGCCGGCGTAACGAAAAGTAGCCATCGCGTCGTGACCGGACGGTCTAAATATAAAATGAGTGTCCGAGAGAAAAATGCCCGGCGATACGGTGCCACCACTGCCACCCTCTTGCAAGATTGAACGTCCACGGCCGACCCATTTGCCGGACACTCCTCGTACCACTATGAAACGCACGGTGCTATTTAATCCGGTGGTTTATTTAATCCACCAACATTATCTACCGCCGTGCAGCAACTCACGGTGGCGCGCGTGTGCTTGCGTGCCTGGTAAATATAGACGTTCCACTTGGCATCGGCTCAGAAAAGATCAAGGTGTCGTAGAAACATCGCAGTTATGTCCGTTCGCGCCCCATTTCATTCTGCTTCTGCTCGGCAACTTTACGTCTACGTGAATATAATTCAGTGCTTTTAACGATTGTGGAATATTAATCGTTGAGGTTATGTCAGAATCAATGAACTTCGATATGGTTTGGAATTTATATGTCGCTTTTAATAATAGAAATGAAAAACGTAAAATTTGACATTTAAAGGAAGTATGGTGCGTGAAATGCAGCAATTGGTATGCGTTTGAATGTTGGTTAGGAAGACATGTAGATATTATTGAAACGTTTTTGAATAGAATTTTATATTTAAGTTTTTAAAATACGATTTTATTTTGTAAACGACATATTTATTGAATGGCGGATCAGAGACGATAAATAAAGAGGCTATCATCTCTTTGCAGGCGTAATCAATTCGGGAGATATATTTCACGATATACAAAGTGTTCATTTTGCGCAATCCAATGTACATAGGGATTTATTTGAAGTCAAACATGTCCGATTCTATGTGTGTTATGGAAATAATAGCCAATACTTAGTAGTTTCACAAATTAGTTTTCAATTTATTTTTGTACATATATTATATCATGGAGGATAGTGTGTTATGGAAATAATAGCCAGTACTTAGTAGTTTCACAAATTAGTTTTCAATTTATTTTTGTACATATATTATATCATGGAGGATACATGAGAATGGAATAATTGATTTACATTCTTTTAAAATATTTTCATACCATTTCTTTCTTTTTTTCTTAATGATAAAGGAAGCTTGCATTTCCAATTTATTTCTTCTCTAGTGTAAAGAAATATTAGGTGTCCCAAAATTCACGCAAGAAGTAATCTTGATAGAAAACACAATGAAGTCGCGTTGTTCTTTCGTGTTTTACCATTTTTGATAACCCTGAACCATCAGTTGTCACTTCATCTTTTCTCTTTCGTTGGCAACACAGTATCGTACAAAGGACACAAAATTCAGATCTTGCGTGAATTATGGGATAACCTATACGATATTTATACTACATTTACCGGAGATACGGGTCGTGGTGGCGCTAGTGAGATAAACGGAAAATTGTATTACGGTAATCTTAGATCACCTACTCGCGAAAGAGTCGTTGAAAATATGCATTTGTTTTCCACGAAGTTAACACCGATTTTTATTCATATAATTTTCCCTGATTTTGCACATTTTTATTCACGGTACAGAAAAATCGATATCTTTTGGTTAATCTAAGTAATTGGTAATGTACTTAAAAATATTTCCATTACGAACGATTACAGTTTTGAAAATATTCCCGCTCGTGATGGGACAAAAATTAAATTGAATTTAATGAACGGGAACGTCGACAAAAGCTGCACATAGAATCGCAAGGAGATTAATCAATCCTTTCCTAATTAATATTCAGCACCAAATGTAATCGAACAGGAAACTAGCGCGCGGACGTTTCACCGTGCTCCATATTTATGCCGTAAATCGCGGAATTCATCCGATTAGGACGAAGAGTAAAATCCGGATCTATCGTTCTGTTCGGTTTTACAAGGGCCTAGTAATTAGCAGATGTCGCGTGCAACGAAATTGTCCGATTTTTTGACGCGATGCACGCGTGTCGCAATTATCCGATTAATTTCTTCTGCGACAAATAGATTTTTTTATCAAAAGCAAATTTTGTAAAATTGGAAAATTTTATTCGACGATATAATTCGTTACATCGATGATAAATTGTATTGATAATTGTACCGAGCAGTTCACGATATGATATTTTTTTATCTCCATCGAAACGCACCAAAATATAATATCACAGTATAATATATAATATTTTTATTAAATCAGAAAGCAAACAAATTCTACTGGAAAGAAATTAGGGGAGCATCCTTGTAATCCAGCTTAAAAAATTCGATTTTTTTTTACATTTTTTCAAAGTACATGTTTTCGTAAATGTCCGTGTGAGAGGATTTGTTCGAATTTATAAAATTATCGAAGTTATGGATGTTTAAAGTGCGGCGTACAGGCATTGTACAAGGAGGAACGAAAATTGTACTACATTTGCGATTTTGCAATAGGGAAACATGACATTAAAACAGCTTTCGAACTGACAGAATTTTGGGCCTAAAAAATTTGCAGAGTTGGTATGAAATCTTCTGCCAATTTGGCGATTTTGTATCAGGCGAACATAACATCACAGGAGGTCTATCGCCGAGCCAGTTCCAAGAAATGACGTCATTTCCAAGAATTCCATGGACAATACTTTTGCTGCCTCGACGAAAAATTTTCGCGTGATTTGGCAATTTTGTATCAGGCGAACATAATATGACAAGAGGTCTATCGCCGAGCCAGTTCCAAGAAATGACGTCATTTCCGAGAATTTCGTGGACAATACTTTTGCTGCCTCGACGAAAAATTTTCGTGTGATTTCACGATTTTGTATCAGGCGAACATAATATGGCAGGAGGTCTATCGTCGAGCCAGTTCCAAGAAATGACGTCATTTCCGAGAATTTCGTGGACAATACTTTTGCTGCCTCGACGAAAAATTTTCGTGTGATTTCACGATTTTGTATCAGGCGAACATAATATGGCAGGAGGTCTATCGTCGAGCCAGTTCCAAGAAATGACGTCATTTCCGAGAATTTCGTGGACAATACTTTTACTGCCTGGACGAAAAATTTTCGTGCGATTTCACGATTTTGTATCAGGCGAACATAATATGACAGGAGGTCTATCGTCGAGCCAGTTCCAAGAAATGACGTCATTTCCGAGAATTTCGTGGACAATACTTTTGCTGCCTCGACGAAAAATATTCGTGTGATTTCGCGATTTTGTATCAGGCGAACATAATATGACAGGAGGTCTATCTCCAAGACAGTTTTAAGAAATGACGCCACTTCTTAGAATTCCATGGACAATACTATTGCCACCTGGACGAAAAATTCTCGGCTGATTTTGCAGTTTTGTATCAGCCTTACTTTATTTATCTTACTTACCATTCTTTCCTTACTTACCTTAATTCATCTTCATTCTTCTTAATTTATATATTACTTCAAAAGATATTGCCTCGTCTTTAATTTCGAAGTTCGAACAGAACATTGAAAAGTTACAAGAGCTGAGACATATCTTTAACTTTATGCGTAGCTCTTAGCTTGGTATAGTGTCCAAAAAATTATTTTTTGGAAAACGATACCAATTACCAGGTCTCACCACGTGGAGGTGGCTACGCATCGAGACCCGACATGCGCCCTAGTGGCGCATCCTACTGGCGCCATCTGTATCAAAGATATGCTAATCTAACTTGGAGCGAATTAAGTTAAAATGACTCTATTGACACTTTATTATATTTCGTGTCTTACAAAAGGGGTTTCGGTTCGGTATACTGAAACTCTAATGTTGTAACGCCAAAATATTTTCAAGTTTCCATAAAAATAGGGAATGAAATATCAAGCACGCGAGCAAATAGAAAATCGCGGCGCGCCCGAACGAGTTCGTGATTATTCGAAAGTCCGACTAGCCTAGGCGATGTACTCCCGTGCACAGAGATAACTTCATACCTCGGCACCCTCCCGATCGGGCCTAGCTCAATTCCAGTCACTGTCGCACTCGCCAAGACTTACACGTGGACCAAGGATAGTCCCTGAACCAATGAAACTTCTAGTGTCAACGCGAGGGCCCTGCTGGGCGGTTGCCGGCCAAGACAGACACTTCGCATCCCAGCCACACGGGGTAGAACTTAATCATCCCTGTGGTCTAACCGTAGATGGTACTAGTCCGTCAGCCAGCATGTGCCCGAGCCCCAGTCGCGTACGACTTAGGCAGCGGACCGCCCCGTCGAGGTCAGAAGACGCACTGATCCGAGGGGGTCACCCTGGAACCCGATGCATGACGAGATTGACAGTGACTGGAAATGAGTGTCGGAGACGAGTCGTGAGGATGACTTACGAAGCATGTACTTATCGAGTACACGAGAGCACGTCGCGTAGGCTAGTCGGTACTTACGAACGATCGCGATTATCGCGAGAACAATTATGTTCTATTTGCTAAACGAGGGGGATAAGAAAATGATAGAGAATTTATAAATTTCGCTCCAAGTTAGGTAGCTTACCTTTGTACAGATAGCGCGCACATGATACTTAGTCTATGGATCTATCTTATGATTACTTAAAAGTAAACGCACGCATCGTTCATTGATGTGTCGCAAACAGAATCTTGAGAAACCTAAAAGCTAAAACAGAATATATTATTGTTAATATGTAGCTGAAAGGAAAGGGATTAGTACGAGGAAACCATCAAGGATAATAACCAAATGGAACGAGCAAGCTAACGACGAGACAGAAACATTCCAACGGTGAGATATAAACATACCAACGAGGAAGCGCTCGAGTATTATACGAAATACTCGAACGCTCTAACGAAAACAAATCGAACGGAAGTCGTAAAATTTGTGAAAGGAAAGATTTAGCCAACGATGAGACATAAGTAAACCAACGACGAAGCATTCGAATATTATACGAAATACTCGAATGCTGAAACAAAGACACATAGAATGAAAAAAATAAAATCTGCAAGAAGAAATTATTGTTAAATTATTTAAGAGAGTGGACAATGGCTACTGAATAGCCATTGATCTAGCCAGCGATGATATACAAATAAACCAACAACGATGTATTCCAATATTGTGCAAAATACTCGAATGCACAAACAATGAAATCTAGAATAAAAGAAATAGAATCTGAAAAAAAAGAAAGATAATTAAAACCTGAAACAAAAAGAAAGAATATTAACGCAGACCCTCCGAAGTCGAACC